AGTGGGGGCAAGAATTGAGCTGAACATGCACCTATTCCGAAGGGCAAAGAGCCAAAAATAACTAGGAGCAACAGCATTTCATCTGACAGGCCCAGAAATAGAGCTCATCCCGGAGCACTGCAGACCCAATGATTCGGAGACCTTCATCATCCCATAAAAACCAGAGAAAAGCACTCTGCTTATACAGCCGCTGGCAAAGCGTTCACCACTGCTTTGCAGGGCCCATAGGACAGGCTGTGGGTCAGCGACCCCAAAGCACAGAAGATGGGCTGGGGATGAGAAGCCCAGGCTGGGATCTGGGGGAATGTTCTGAGGAACAGGAGGTGACTGGTAAGCGCGGAGGATGCAGAACAAAGAGCAGAGGCTGAAGATGGGTTTAGGGAAGGTAAAGTCCAAAGGTCACAAAAGAATGGAAACACTGAACATAAAACCTGGCATGTAGGATTCTGCTAGATCCCACAAGTCATCTACGGCGAAACAAAAGGGCCATGCATTCGGCATCAGGACAGGGAATGTGTTGGCTGACAGCTAGCTTCCCTTCTATTTTTGCTTTCTTCTATTTTGATATAAAAGGGAAATGTTGAAGTTCATTCATCTTCGTTCTGAATAACTGAAATTATAGTGAGGAGGAGGAGGTAGAGAAGGCAAAAAGACTGCAGCATTCCAGAGAACCCTGAGTGTGGAAACAGACCTGGAGATGAGGGCGAATGGAAAAAGAAAAGAAGGAAGGCCAGAAGGTAGGAAGACAGGGAAAAGGAGGAGGGGAGAAAAAGTGAAAGAGGAGTTGGATTCAATTTACTCTGTGACTAGCCGGAGAACTTATGCAGGAGGCGAGGGACAGACAAGGGAGGACACACACACACACACACAAACGCCCAACTTCCATGAGCCATGGAATTAGCCCAGGGCCTGGGGACAACTGGCAGGTTGCACTTTGATCTGAGGTCATGCGGGAAGCTCCCTAGAGCTGATGGCCTTTGCCTGGGCCCAGCGGTTTATGCAGGACAGGAAGGAACTGGTAGTTCTTTACTCCGTGGGATATCCCACACACACTTCTTGCAACCCAGTGATCGTGTATCTCTGTGGCAACAGATCCCTTTCCTCTGGGTATTCTGAGAGCCCAGAAATAGTTCCCAGCCTGGATAGTTCCCAGTGCCATTTCTACTGGCCCCCAGCAAAAGGAGACAGAGACAAGCAGGGTGTTTTTCACAAGCCATTTTTTTTCTGGCAGATTTAGAGTTGGCCAACTGTGTTGCTCCCTGAGTGTTTACTCATCTTAAGTCATTTTAGGGTCTGAGGGCACCAGGCTGCAGCCACTGAGGCAGGTATGTTCAGCCCGGGCACCTGCTTTCTCCCTTCTGGCCCGGGCCCCTGGCGCTCCCCCTGCTGGGCTCCAGTGCTCAGGTCTGGACCTAGCTCCAGACTCCGAAGCCTTGGTCCCTGTCATTGCTGGGATGTGCATTGTTCCCTGCCTCGGCCTCACTAAGGAGTCTCTCCAAGGAGAGGTGATAAATGGACTCAAGCTAAGGCAGGCACAAGAGAGACCCAGTTCACTGTCTCCCCTGGAGGCTTTCGGATTTTAGTGGAGTATTAAAACTTAATTCAAACCAGTGAATAGTAGAATTTCAAACCCTCCCACAGGGCACTGGGAGGAGTATATTTATTTTTCAATAAATAGTCTCGTTCTAAAATCAAACCACACCTCTCAAATTACTGACACAAACCGCTAGAGGGGAGACGGGGTAATAAGTGACTTTGTCTTTCGGATCAAAATGTCATACTCTGCTGTGAAAAGAAATCCTGACCTTCTTGCTCCCCTCTCCAAACTGGATTAATCCAGCAATCTCACCCCCTGCTGCCCTGCGCAACAGCACAGCTGAAGGGTCACTGTTGGAGGACCCAGTTTCCCTCATGCCTGTTGCTCCTGGCAGAGTGAATGGTCCTGCCTCACTGGATCCCAGGGGCTGGGTGGTGCTCTCTGCAATAGAAGATAAACAAACGAGCCCCTGGGTATACAGTACCAGGTTAAAGATAGCCCAGCACCCTATGGGCACCTCCACTTGGATTGCACTTGGGTAAACGCAAGGCTCAATCCCTGCCAAGGTTTGAGATGGGCGGATGCATGAATCCTGATTACAGACATCCCGAGGGCGCCATTCCATTCCCTGAGGACTAAGGGAATGGATTTGGGTGCAAGAGGGAGGCCCAGGGAGGCAGGGAAACTCCACATACACTGCTCTGCCTCAGCAAGCCCCTTGTCCTGCCTGAATTGTCCCAACAATTCTCCTTGCACTTGTGATAAAAGTATAGTCTGTATTTTGGCCTGATGGGAAAAATATAGACAGGATCTGGGACAAAGCGACTCAATCTTTTGTTCCCTTGGACACTCAATACAATGAATAGTTTTCTGCATCACATGGGAGAATTCTAAGTGCTTTGTTTCTGTGGAAGTGGGACAGGGAGAGCGGGAACATCTGTCACACCCCTCAATGCTTTCATGTGGTGGCGGCTGGCTGGGAGAGGGTAGGAATAGCCCTTTTCCTGGATGCCAGGGGTTCTGGAAGTGTGGTCTTTGGATCATCGGCCACAGTACTTCCTGGAGATTGTCAGACAGGCAGCTTCTCAAGCCCCAGGACACGGAAACAGAAATTCTAGAGGTGGACTTCAGCCATCTGCAAGAGTTTCAGGTCAGGCTGAAGTTTGAGACCCACTGGTGTTTACCTGGGAGTCTGTGACTGGAGGCCAGGGGCCTCAGACAGGGCCACAGCTCTTACGTGACCTAAAAAAAAGTCAGGGATGACTCAGCTGCCAGTGACATACTACTGTGACCAGGCCCAGAGGGAGACAGCCTGGAGCAGGTGCAGGCACCTGGGGCCGGGCTGTCCACGCCGGCACACTGTCACCACAGCCAGGCTCGGCCCCACGGATATCAGGACCTGGCCCACAGCCGTGCACCTCCACCGGGAAAGGGCTGTGTCCTGTCAGACTCCCAGTCTATTCTTAGTTCCAATCCGCACAAATCCGCCCGCGCCAAAGGGAAGCTTCTGCGAACTTTCCAAGGTGGGTTAACTGTTTCAGAGCACAGCCTCGAGTGGCAGCTCGCAGAGCCACTGGACCCCGCCAAGCGCCTCCCGGAGCTCCAGGGCGTGCCCTGGGCCAGGGGTCCCTTCGCCCCCACGGCCCGTCTCCTCCTGGCTACAGAAGCCCAGTCGGCGGCGGATAGCCAGTCCCGACCTGCGTCCCTGAGGCTGGTCGAGGATGTGTCCTGATTTTCCAAAAAGCTGTTTTCGCACTTCAAGGGCCTCACCCCTTTCATTTGGGGCTAGAGTACGATAGTGCTGGCCTAATTAATTCATTTTCTTTTCAGTCCAAAGTGGAAACCCGAAGCACAAGGATGCAAACCAAATACAAACCCGCTCAGGGCGCCAATACTCTGGACAATTAAAACAAAGAGCGCGGCCGGCGGCGGCAGCGGCGGCACCGCACAAAACCCTCGGGAAACATCCACAACGCGTCGCCAATCAGCCGGCGGGGTGGGGCGCAGCCGGGGCCGGCCCCGCAGGTGGACAGGTGGAGGTGGGCAGGGGTCAGACCCAGCTTTCGGGACGCGAGGCTGGGCGGCGGCGCGGCCCAACTCCAGGGGGCACACTCGTCCCGCGCCCTGCGGGAATGGCGCCCCGGCCGAAAAAGCAGCCACGCGAACCCCAGCGCCGGGGCGGGCACGGGCTGCGCGGCCGGCGGGGACGCGGGCGGTGGGAGAGCGGCCGGCGGGAGGCGGGCGGCGAAGGAGAAGGGGAGGGAGTTGGCGAGAAAGATGCGGAGGAGAGGGAGAAAGTGGGGAAAAGAGGGGGTGAGGAAGAGAGGTAAGAGCGGGGGACCGCGGAGAGCGAGCGAGCGCGCGGAAGGGGCGGGGGAGGACGCGGAAGAAAGGGAAGGGGCGGCGCGGGCGGGACCCGGGCG